AATTCCTACCACATACTTCACATTCGAATGGCCGCCCGTTTTCATGCGTCAATATGTGCATCTTCAGATTTTGGGATACTTTGAATGTTTTATTGCACATGTGACATTTAAATGGTCGTTCGTTTCCATGCGTCAATATGTGCATCTTCAGATTTTGGGATACTTTGAATGTTTTATTGCACATGTGACATTTAAATGGTCGTTCGTTTCCGTGCATCGATACGTGTCTCTTCAAACTCCCGGATCCTTTGAATATTTTTTTGCACATGTGGCACTCGAATGGTCGTTCGTTTCCGTGCGTCAATTGGTGTTCCCTTAGATTGCCGGACCATTTGAATGCTTTATTGCACACGTAACATTTGAATGGCCGTTCGTTTCCGTGAGTCAAATTGTGTCTCGTCAGAACGAGGGACCCCTTGAATGTTTTATTACACATGTGACATTCGAATGGCCGTTCGTTCCTGTGCACCAAATTGTGTTTCTTCAAATCGCCGGACCGTTTGAATGTTTTATTGCACATGTAACATTTGAATGGTCGTTCGTTTCCGTGCGTCAATTTGTGTTTCTTCAGATTTGAATTCTGATTGAATGCTTTATCGCATACTTCACATTTGAATGGTCGTTCGTTTCCGTGCGTGAATTTGTGTCTCTTCAGATGTGAATTCTGATTGAATGCTTTATCGCACACTTCACATTTGAATGGTCGTTCGTTTCCGTGCGTGAATTTGTGTCTCTTCAGATGTGAATTCTGATTGAATGCTTTATCGCACACTTCACATTTGAATTTTTCGTTTCCGTGCATCAATTTATGTCTCTCCAGATCGCAGGACCATTTGAACGGTTTATTGCATATCTTGCATTCGAACCATTTTTTGATTGAATTCCCGTCATCAGACACAGTCCTTATTTCGTCGTTATTACTTATTGCTGCTTGTATTGCCTCATCGCCTTCATTTGATACCTGAAAAACCAAAAAAGATTTGTTAATGTATTTGATTATTATTTTCCTGTGAATTTCGAACAGCAATAATCAAAGATATTGCATTAAATCATAGGCATTGTATTAATCAGAGGCATAATTACAGGCAGAGGCTTATCGTATTCACATTCCGTTGCTTGGGCGACGCACAACTGGCAAAACATGAATAGGGAATAGTATGGTAGACACATGATCGAGAAGTGGTGGCATGTGGCAGTGATATTTTCTGATATCGATGTAATTAAGAAGCTCACCGCAAGCCTTTCACCTGAACTTTCATGCATTTTCATATTTCTATTCAAATTACGTTTCTGAGTGAAATTCCAACCACTTACTTTACATTCGAATGGCCGCACGTTTCCATGCGTTAATATGTGTTTCTTCAATTCGTCGGACCGTTTGAATGCTTTATTGCACACGTGACATTTGAATGGTCGTACGTTTCCGTGGGTCAAATTGTGTTTCTTCAGATTACCGGACCATTTGAATGTTTTATTGCATATCTCACATTTGTAATTTTTTTCATCGATATGTATCATCTTATGGTTTGCTAGAGTACCTGAACGTGCGAATAGCACACCGCATACCTTACATTGGTACCGTTTTTTGTTTACTTCACTGTTATTAGTCACAGTCTTTATTTTGCCCTCCTTCTCTATCCCTTCTTGTATTCGCTGATCGTTTGATACCTAAAATAACCCAAAATCATTGGTTTATAGTTGGCTTATTGTTTTTCTGTGATTTTTGAATAGTATTAATCACAGGTATTGTGCAGATATCACTGTAGAATCTTTGAATGGCAATAAGTTACTTCCACATTTTAAAAATAGCTCGGTGAATTGCAACAATAATTTGAAAAAAGTATCGGTTGTATTATATTGTGCTGCTGATTTGAGACAGAATGATTAGCAGACCAATCGATGTGACGAAAATGATTCGGTGATTCAGTGCACAAAGTTTAGCATTTATTTTAATTTTCGCCATAGAGTATGATCACATAACATCGATTGTTTAGAAGTGACAGGGAAATAGGAAAGATCACAAGGAGTAACTATTTTTGTCTTCACTTAAAGTAAAAAACTTCGTGAATATTTAATTTCAATACTGAAAACAATATCTTATTCACATACCGTTATTTGCGAGACGTACAACGGCAAAACAGACAATGCGAAATAGTATGACAGATGCATGATCGAGGAATCGAGAAGGGATGTGGAAATCGTTGAATTCTTTTCGAAAAATATTTTTAGCAAACAACCAATCTAATGAAGTGATATTTGTCGTATAAACTGAGAGGACCGTTTTTATGCATTCCGGTAAGCCGTATGATCTATGACCAAATATAATCACAAAGCTCCAGTCTTTTCGCATAATAATTTTCACTCCACTCTAAAATTTTTTGTTAGTTACGCTGGATAATAATAGTTTCATGCAAATGTGATTATAACTGGCAGCATTGTTCAAAATTGTCACCAAATCTCTTCAACCTCCGATAGAATGAAATCATTCGAAGAATATTTACAATAACTAGTTTGAAATTATTAACATTCAAATATTTGCTAATAGAATTTTTAAGCATTATTCAAATAAATCTTTAAGCATTATTCAGATACAGATAATTGCCAAATACCGTCACAACAATGTTATCCATTTTGCCATGAATAGTACTGACCATGTACGGGCCATTCTGAAAGCAATATATAGCTGCTTTACTTTTCTGACAAGGGCAGCTTTAGTCTACCTAAAAGCTATAATATTTGATGGAACGGTACTTCATAGCGCAGTCCCAACTATCACGGATGTACGGCAAAAGATAATAACCACGAGGTCAACTTAGTTACGATTATTCCAATGATTATATTATGATGTCACGAAAAGCTTTCTAAATCGACATCGAAAATATCATGCTACAATAACACAAACAATCATTCAAAGATTCCGTTCATTTGCAGTCTCGTTATATGTTTATATATTTCTCGAATTTTAATTTTAGTGGGGCGGAAAAATATTGTTGCTTTCTTGATGCTAGCAGCCAATGTTCAAATTTTTAAAATTTTATGTACATTCAATCATTTTTATGTTCATTCAATCAAGAAATAGCAGGGAAGAACAAACGGCAAAAAAACAGTACAAATATAATTTAGGCCAACACAATACAATAATTTATAGTACTGCGAATGTAATTATTCCCCTTATAAATATTTCTGTGTCAATGATGTCTGATATTGATATCATTAAGGAGCTTACTGTAGAATGTAGCTCTTCACTCAAATTTTTATGCGTATTAATGTGTTCTTTCAATTTATTCCTTCGAGTAAAAGTCTTACCACATCCTTCACATTTGAATGGTCGTACCGTGTGTCAATTGATGTCTCTTCAGACTGTCAGACGTTCCGAATGTTTTATTGCACACGTGACACTTGAATGGTCGCACATTTCCGTGCGTCAATTCGTGTCTCTTCAGATTTGAAATCTGGTTGAATGCTTTATCGCATACTTCACATTCGAATGGTCGTGCGTTTTCGTGCGTCAATTTGTGTTTCTTCAGATTTAAATTCTGACTGAATTCTTTATTGCATACTTCACATTTGAATGGTCGTTCGTTTCCGTGCGTCAATTGGTGGACCTTCAGATTGTCGAATCTTTTGAACGCTTTATTACATACCTTACATATGTAATTTTTTTCATCGGCATGTATCACCTTATGGCGTTTCACATTGCCTGAAGATCCGAATTGCTTATTGCATTCTTCACACTTATACCGTTTTTCGTTTGCTTTACTGTCACTTGCCATAGCCTCAATTCCGGCGTCATTTTTTATTGCTACTTTTATTGCCTCATCGCCTTCATTTGAAATAACCCAAAATGATTTGTTTATACCTGAAATAACCCAAAATGATTTGTTTATATATTTGATTATTTTTTCCTGTGATTTTTGAGTGGCAATAATCAAAGGGATTATGCAGATATCATTGCAGAATCTTTGAATGGCAACAATTCATTTCTATGTTTTAAAAATAGCTCGATGAATTATAATAATAATTTGAAAAAAGTGTCAACTGTGCTATATTGTGACAGTCAATTTGAGACAGAAGGATTAACAGATCGATGCTATAAAAATGATTTGGCGATTCAATACATTAACTGTTTGTGTTTCGCTTTTGGTATTTGCGAGGAAACGATCGTAAAATACAGATTATTTAGAAGTAGCAGGGAAATAGGCATGAATTTTTCTTCATACGAAGCAGCTATTTTTGTTCATTGCTAAGATTAAAATTTTGTGAATATTTAATTTCTATACTGAAAGGCAATGACTTATTCACATACCGTTATTTGCGCAACGTACAGCGGCAAAACAAGCTCTATCAAATAATATGACAGATACATGATCGAAAAATGGCTGAATGAGGAATTCGGCGAGCTCTTTTAGCGAAATGTTTTTAGCTGAAACCAATCTAATGAATTGATATTTGTCGTATTAACTGAGTGAACCGTTTTTATGCATTCCGGTAATCTGTATGATCTATGACCAAATATAATCACAAAGCTCCAGTCTTTTCGTGTAATGTTTTTCACGTCGACGGCAGTGAGCTTATTCATCATTGCATACCTATTCGCAGTTACGGATTTATCTATATTCATATGCGAAAAATAGATATTCTAATATTTATGATTTACTAAGTATAAAATATTAGGCATAATTATATGCAAAAATAAGTGGATAATAATGATTTCAGATAACTACCTGTTGCATATAATGAATGAATTGAATGGTAAAATTGAATTGGACAAATTATGATTGCGGTAATGATAGAGAAGAAATTTATTCTTTTCCCTTCTTTTAAAAGATATTTATTTTTTCAACAAAATAATAAAGAAAAAATTTTACTTCGTTTTTACTTCAAATTTATTGTTGACTTTATTTCATTCCAATAATAATTATTCTGTTTAGTTATTTCCAATAATAATTAACATTTTTTACCCATCCAAACATTATAATTTCTAATTAATCAAATCATTCGAAATGAACACTTTTGACATTCAATCAAGAAATAGTGGACAAAGCACAGATGGCGAAAAAACAGTACCAATATAATTTAAGCCAACACAATACAATTATTTATAGTGCTGCGAATGTAATTATTTCCTTTATAAATATATCTGTGTCAATGATGTCTTCTGCTATCAATATCAACAAGGAGCTTACTGTAAGCTTTTCATCTGAACTTTTATGCACTTTCATGTGTCTCTTCAAATTACCTTTCTGATTGAATTTCCTACCACAAATTCCACATTCGAATAACCGAACGTTTCCATGCGTCAAATTGTGTCTCCTCAGTTTTCCGTAAGTCAAACAGTGTCTCTTTAAATTGTCCGACCTTCTGAATGTTGCACTGCACACGTAACATCTGAATGGTCGTTCGTTTCTGTGCGTCAAATTGTGATTCTTCAGAACGCGAGACTCTTTGAATGTTTTATTGCACACGTGACATTTGAATGGTCGTTCTTTTCCGTGCATCAATTTATGTCTCTGCAGATCGCTGGACCATTTGAATGGTTTATTGCATACCGTACATTCGAACCATTTTTTGATTGCTTTCCCGTCATCAACCACAGTCCTTATTTCGCCGCCATATCTTATTGCTGCTTTTATTGCCTCATCGCCTTCATTCGATACCTGAAATAGCCCAAAATGATTTGCTTACATATTTGATTACTATTTTCCTGTGATTTTTGAGCACCAAAATCACAGGTATTGTGCAGATATCATTGTAGAATCTTTGACTGGCAGCAATTCACTTTTATATTTTAAAAATAGTTCGGTGAATTGTAATAATAATTTGGAAAGGTATCAGCTGTGCTATATCATGACTGTTGAATTGGGACTGAAGGATTAACAGATCGATGCAATAAAAATGATTTGGCGATTTAATGCACAAATTTTTTGTGTTTCGCTTTTGGTATTTGCTATAGGAAACGATCGCAAAGCGCCGAATATTTAGAAGTATCGGAGAAAGAGATATGAAAAATTTTATTTTTATTTATTTTTTCTTGACATGAGACAGCTGTTTTTGTGCTTAGTAAAGACAAAAATCTCTAAGATAAGCCAAGATAAAAATCTGAATACTTAGTTTCTATACTGAAAGCAATATCTTGTTCACATACCGTTATTCAAAAAAAAATCAAAAAAAATCAAATGAAGGAAAATAATTATCAAATATGTAAGCAAATCATTTTGGGCTATTTCAGGTATCAAATGAGGGAGATGAGGCAATACAAGCAGCAACAAGAAATGACGACGAAATAAAAATTATGGCTAGTGACAGTAAAGCAAACGAAAAACGGTACAAATGTGATATATGCAGTAAGCAATTCGGGTATTCAGGCGCTCTGAAACGCCATAAGATGATACATACCGGTGAAAAATTACGTATGTAAGGTATGCAATAAAGTGTTCCAAAGGTTCGACAATCTGAAGAGCCACCAATTGATACACGGAAACGAACGACCATTCAAATGTTACGGTGCAATAAAACCTTCAAAGAATCCGGGGTTCTGAAGAGACAAATATTGAATTACGAAACGAGCAACCATTTAAATGTCACAAGTGCAGTAAAAACAATCCGGGAATCTGAGACAGCGCATATTGACGCATGGAAACATGCGGCCGTTCAAATGTGAAGCATGTAGCAGGTTCATTCGGAAAGGTGATTTGAATAGACACATGAAAATAGATGAAAGTTCGGACGAAACGTTGTATTCTGCAGTAAGCTCCTTAGTGACATCGATAGCAGAAGATATCATTGACACAGAAATATCAATAAGGGAAATAATTACATTCGTGAAGAAGAAATTTATTATACTAATTATAAATTTATTTTACTAAGATTTAACAAGTATAAAATATTATACCTAATATTTTATACTTAGTAAATCATAAACATCAGAAGAATATGTATTTTCCGCATATAAATATGGATAAATCCATAACTGTGAATAGGTTCTTTTTTTATCAAAGTTTCAGAGTTTTAAATCAAGTTCGAAAATTTTTAAATGCAATTTATTTTTCTGGAAGATTCGATAATTTAAAAGTTTGAATCATCTCTTTGCTAATATCTTCTTATTCCTCAGCTACATCAAAGTAAAATCACGACAAACATTGAGATACAAATTAAGCGATTGATCACTGATTGCTTTGGCCCTATTTATCCAATATAGATGTTGAAAATGTATAAAGTTTTAAAAATTACAATCGCTTGATTGTTCTAAAACTAAAGTTCTAAAAAAAATTTTTGACAGCCAATATAAACAGATCAATTTCAATCTTCCCAATCGGTCATTTCATAATTACTTACCATTTGCAAGATTTGAAAGTGTTATTCTCTTCACCAGATCATCTTTATTAATGCATATTTCACGTTATTTCATAATTACTTATCATTCCACGACTTGAGAGTGTCATTCTCTTCATCAGGTTACCTTTAATAACACGTACTTCACGTTTTGATGATCTGCTGATATAGACATATAACGAGCGTATTGCTGCTTCCATACGATCCAAAAAAAATTTCTGAATATCCATTCTTTCTTGCAAGACAGCATTATTGTGTTAAATCCAACACAGCATTATTATATCTGAATAATCGAAATGCTTGAGATTCCGGAAAATTGTTTTAAATTTATCGTTTATTCAATTCATACTACAGAGACTCATAAATACGTTAAATTATCTCAAATGTTAAGCTAATCCTTTATTCATTTTGCTTCCTTTATGTCTAAAGGATATATAATACGGTGCTTTGTTCGTCACTAATTACAAATGTTAACTATCCTTTGCTGACAGAACACTTTTTGTCTCCATGGCTCTTGCCACGATTGCGGAATTTTAAAAGAGATATATGATCGTTACCAAATGCCATCACAACAACGTTATTCATTTTGCTGCGAATAGTACTCACCATGTACGGGCCATCCTGAAAGCAATATATAGCTGCTTAATTTTTCTAATTAACACGGTCAGCTTTAGTCTACCTAAAAGCTATAAAATTTGACGGGACGGTACTTCATAGCGCTGTCCTAACTATCCTCACGGATTTACGGCAAAGGAGAATAACCACGAGGTCAACTTAGTTACGATAATGCCAATAATTATATTATAATGTCACGAATAAAAGCTTTCTAAATCGACATCGAAAATATCATGCTACTATAACAGAAGCAATCATTCAAAGATTCCGTTCATTTGCAATCTCATTGTGACACGCTGTTTAATATGCTTATCAATTATCACTGTTGTACAATGTGTTTTGTTACTTTCACTTGTTTATATATTTCTCGAATTTTAATTTTAGTGAGGCGGAAAAATATTGTTGCTTTCTTGATGCTAACAGCCAATGTTCAAATTTTAAAAATTTTATGTACAATTTCATCAATCACTTTTAACATTCAATCGAGGAATAGCGGGCAAAGAACAAATGGCAATAATACAGTACCAATATAACTTAAGCCAACACAATACAATTATTTATAGTCTTGCGAATGTAATTATATCCCTTATTGATATTGCTGTGTCAATGATATCTGATATCGATATTTTTAAGGAGCTTTCTGTAGAATATAGCTTTTCATCCGAACTTTTATGCTTTTTAATATGTTTCTTCAAATCATCTTTCCGAATGAAATTCCTACCACATGCTTCACACTTGAATACTTGTACGTTTCCGTGCGTTAATTGGTGTCTCTTCAAATTTCTGGATACTTTGAATGTTTTACTGCACATATGGCATTTATATGGTCGTTCGTTTCCGTGCGTCAAATTGTGTTTCTTCAAATCGTGGGGCCGTTTGAATGCTTTATTGCATACGTGACATTTGAATGGTCGTACGTTTCCGTGCGTCAATTTGTGGTTCTTCAGATTGCCGGACCATTTGAATGCTTTATTGCATATCTCACAATTGTAATTTTTTTCATCGTTATGCATAATCTTATGGTTCCACAAAGTAGTTGAACGTCCGAATAGCACACCGCATACCTCACATTGGTACTGTTTTTTGCTTGCTTCACTGTCATTAGCCACCGTCTCTATTCTGCCCTCATTTTCTATTCCTTCTTGCATTGACTGATCGTTTGATACCTGAAATAATCCATAATCATTGGTTTATAGTTGGCTTATTGCTTTTCTGTTATTTTTGAACAGTAATAATCAGAGATATTGTGCAGATATCATTGTAGAACTTTTGAATGGTAACAATTCACTTCTATATTTTAAAAATAGGCCGACAAATTGCAACAGTGATGTGAAAAAAGCATAAGTTGTGGTATATTGTGCTATTAACTTGAGGATAAGCAGACCGATCGATGTAACAAAAATGATTCGGTGATTCAATGCACAAACTTTTGCATTTCATTTTGATTTTTACCATAGAGTATGAATGATCACATAACATCGATTGTTTAGAAGTGATAGTGAAATAGATAAGAAATGAAAAATCAAATAATTTACCTTCACAAGGAGTAGCTGTTTTTGTTCTTACTTAATGTAAAAAACTTTGTGAATTTCAATATTGAAAATTTCAATATTGAAAACAATATCTTATTCACATACCGTTATTTGGGCGACGTACAACGGCAAAACAAGCACTAGCAAACAATATGACAAATACATAATCGAGAAATGGCAGAATAAGGAATTCGTCGAAGTCTTTCCGAAAAATATTTTCAGCACACAATCAGCTTAACGAAGTGATATTTGTTGCATTACCAGAGAGGACCGTTTTTATGCATTCCGGGAAGCCAAATGATCTATGACCAAATATAACCACAAAGCTCCAGTCTTTTCGCATAATAATTTTCACTCCAGTTTAATATTTTTTGTTAGTTACAATGAATAATAATAGTTTCATGCAAATGTGATTATTACTGGCAGCATTGTTCAGAATTGTCACCAAATCTCTTCAATCCCGAGTAGAATGAAATCATTCGAATTGTAATCATCAATGTATAATCACCACCAAAAAAAAACGATAAAGCATTGCTATTAAAATAATTTGAAGTTCGAAACTATTTTGAATATTCATATAAATTAAAATTTGGGTGCGATCCAATCAAAATAGTTAAATAATGATTCACAGACGTATTCTATCTTCAACACACATCGAAATATTTCAAAAATGCACTGTTTGCTTTGTAATAATTTCAAGTATCTTCCAATTCAAATATTATCGTAATTAATAAATTCTATTACTTAATTCATTCCATACAATTTATGCCTTCTTTAAACTTTGAATTTTATGATTCAAATTTTGTACATTTTTTTTTAAACTCAACAGTTGTTTTGTTTTACAACATATCTTCAAATTTATACCTTTAAAATTTACCTAAAATATCATTTACAAATAATAATTGTTTCCAATTAATTTTGTTATTTGCAATTAGCCAATTTAGCATTGTATAAATTAAAATGGTTACTTTTCAACGACGAGAAATTTCATCAACGATACAAATCATAATTAGTTTATACTTTTAGTAGTAAAATTGAAAACATTAAAAAAAAAACAATATTTTTTCCTACGTATTTCGCTACGATAGCAATATATCATTTGGAATAAATTTAAATGTTATTTTTAATTTAAATATTATTTAAATATTACAGCTAATTATTTTATATTTATTATTTCTATTTTAAATTAAATATAATTTAAATATTACAGCTAATTATTTTATATTTATTATTTCTATTTTAAATTAAATATAATTTAAATATTACAGCTAATTATTTTATATTTATTATTTCTATTTTTATTTCTATTTCCAATTTTATTTCCATTTCTATTCTTTCAGATTACTTCCGTTTTCTTTTCCCTTATCAAAAATGATCGTTGATATTAAGAGTTAGAAAATAAATTTCTCTCTCTCTCTCTCTCTCTCTCTTTATTTTTCGCAATAATAAATATCCATTTAACAGAAACTGTTTTTTTTAATGCTACAATTTTCTTCCGTTAAAATTTTATTATTTTTCAATTGATTTAATCTTGATTTTTTTTTCAGGTAGAGCAAATTGCAAAAATTAAATTTGTGAAGAATTTTTTTATCGGTTTTTTCTTGTTTTGAAAATTGACTGCTTTTTCTTGTCAGAGAGCAATTTAAAAAATTTATCAGATCTTACTGTTTTAACCTTTCCTGTTTTGTATTCTGTAAAAGACGAATCAATGATCGATCATCCATTTTTTTTGAATTGATTTATTATTTCCATGCAACTATTTCAATTTGAAGCAATTTCAAAAATATGAAAAAAAGAAGTATTAAATCCTACATTAATACAGTAACATGAGCTTTATGGTATACTGTTGAAATACAGTATGTTTTTTTTTTTTGTTTGAATGTTTCGGTAATTAAAATTGTGAACAAATTAAACAATTTCTTTAACTGCAAAATCGAAATTTTTTGTTAATGCCGATTTATATCATCGATATTATTTTACGATATTAGTTTTATACCTTTCGTTTAGTTAATT